AGCCTAATAAACATTCCACCACACTATCTGGCTACACCTTTAACCAGTTGTAATTCAACCAGAAGTCTTTGCACTGAGTCCACGTTTTCTATCTTATCCATGAGGACAGCATGAGAGCCTCTCGAAAAAGGTTGCAAAGAAGCCTCAATTCTCATCTATCACACTTTTCTGATGGACCAGTCTAGTTTATAATAACCCTGTCAAGGAAGAAAATGAAATTCCCTTGAGATTTAGATCGTAGAATCTCCTGCTGCTTCTTTTTGGTGCACAAGCCATCTCTATAATAACCCATACCACAACCTTAGCTGGGAACAGTAAGCCAAATGGTCTGTGGTTTTCTAAAAGCTACCCATTTTGTTCTTTCTGAAAATCTTTCAGAATCATGCCAGTCCTCCTCAGTCCCTCAAAGACCATCATGACTCTCCTTGCCCCGGATCTGTGCTTCCCCTAAAACTCTCATCACAGTAACTGACACTACCATCCAAGCAACTGCTTAGCCCCAAACCCAGGAGCCATCTTTGATTCTTCTCTGTCCCTCCTCCTCACATTCAAATCATTAGCAAATTCTACCGGTTGTAATTCAGATATATCCTAAATCTGTCCACTTCTCTCTATCTCTATGGCCAATACCTTAGTCCAAACAACCTGACTTCCTCCAGCTGTTTTTGCTTCTGCCCTGCCTTCCCCACTCAGACCAACTTCATTCTTCACAGCAGCTGGAGTGGTAATTAAAATCTTTTAATCAGACCATTTCCCTTCTTTCCAAACTACATTAACGATCCAAACTTCCTAACCCCCTCCAACTCTTTAGTCTTATCTCATACCACAGTCAGAAACACTCACCACTACCTGAGGGTCTTTTCTCCAGTCCCCTCTACTTAGAACACTCTTCTGAGACATCTGTATGGGCTCCTTCTCATCTTTCAAGTTTCAGCTCCTCAAGGGCCTACCTTGATTACCCTAAAGTTGTTGCCTGCACCCTCCCCCACCATTGCATTCCTTCGTGTTGTTAGCATGCACTTGTTACAATCCAAAATTATCTTGTTTGCTTTACCTACCCCACCCCTTACTAAAATATAAATTTCATAAGCAAGGACCTTATCTATCTTGTGTACCACTGTATTTCTGTGCTTGGGACAGTGCTTAGTAAATATGTGTGAGTGAATACAGGAATAAAGAGCTTATGAGTCCTCCCAGATTCTAGGATGAGCATTTTTTAGGTCAGAAGTTTGGAAACTGGGTCATTACCACTGGAAACTATAGAGCAGAAGCCAGGAACTCTTACAATCTGATTTCAGTTCTTCAGTTCTTTGAACAGTTTGCCAGAAATTCCATTTATTATCCAAGTTCCTCTGAATATCTATCTATCCATCTATCTATCTACCTACCTACCTACCTATATCTCCTTTAAAAATGGAATGTTTAGGGGCACATGGCTGGCTCAGCCAGTTGAGCATGCGCCTCTTGATCTCAGGGTCATGAGTTCAAGCCCCATGCTGGGCATGGAGCCTACTTAAAATAATTAAATAATTAAAATTTTTTAAAGATGCAACATTTAAGGGTTTATCTGTCATCCTGGAGCAGTAAGAATTTCCATGTAGGTAGCTTTCTTTCTGTTTTTGTTTTTTTTCTTTTTAATTTGAAAGACAGCTGAGCATGGTACCTGATGTGGGGCTTGATCTCATGACCCTGAGCCAAAATCAAGAGTCAGCTGCCCAACCAACTGAGCCACCCAGGTGCCCCGGCGAAGGAAGTACTCCATAGACAATTTTAATACGTGAGAGGAGACAGCCAGGTTACCATTGAGAGCTGTCTGGGTAATGTATTACAGAAAAGGGAGATGAGTGCCTTTTTCTCAAATAGCCTCCTACAGACTCTGAATCCAGGGAAGTACGGAACCACTCTTTTTCGTCCTACCTTTTACTGTCTGGTCCTATAATTTACCTAGGTACACCAAGGTTAGAGTCTGTGGTGCGCTTATCCGGATATTCCAGCATCATTTGCACATAAAAGTAAATTTCCCATGGGAACTGCGTGCCAACAAACCACCAGTGCAAGTGTTGGGGGTTGTTTCTATTTACAAGTTTTGCAAGCCATCATCCTTACCCACCTTCACTGCTATCTCATTTCTCCTGGGCATGACTCCTATTGTTTCCCAGATGGCCAGCAAATACTCTAGAACCATCCTTTCCCTTTTTCCAACCCCCTTAGGGCAAAAAAGTTCATGAAAACCAAATACAAGAAAAGAAAAAGAGAAAAACGAAGATACTATGGTTCTTCCCAAAGACCTAGATACTTATAAGGCCTAGCTAATTAGCAATACATCTCTATCTAATTTGTTTTTCCCCCAAACTCTCTGGATTGGTTCAAGAAATTAAAGGACAGGGGTGCCAGGCTGGCTTAGTTGGTGGAGCATGCAACTCTTGATCTCGGCGTCCTGAGTCTGAGCCTCACAATGGGTGCAGAGACTACTTAATAAATAAATAAATAAATAAATAAATAGGCCTCTTTGGGGAAAAAAAAAAGAAGTTTAAGGACACCCATTCAGACAGACAATTTACTGCTGTATTCCCTTCAGTGAAATAAGAAGAACCTTGTTTTATCGTTTTATCTGGGAAATCTGAGACTTTGAGGGGGACTGGAAAGGCAGGAAACTGATTCTGCTGCTATAACTAAATCATGTAAGCACACCTCCTAAATCTTGTGCACACCACCTTGTCTTTGGTTTGGGGGCCACTAAAATAAGTTCGACTTCATCTCTTGCCTTAATTCAGACCTCTCTTCATACACACTGCAGGCTATGCTCCAACTACTTCCTAACACCAGACCCTGCAGACAGCCAGGCCTGGCAGGTCTCTCACAAAGCACCCAGGGCAAGCCGGTCTTCCTACTACGTCTTTACCATTCACTATGGTTTGTATGGGTCTCTTCCCATAGAGGTGGCCCTACACAAAATTATCCAAGAGTTTAAAATATATGTAGGAGTACTTTACAGCTCCTCTTGCCTTTGCTACAGGGGCTTTAATTCTTTTTGCCCCCAACTCCTACTCCCACTCCCAGTGCTATCAAGCTATTCAGAAGTAATGAATTAGTCCACATCAACTGAATCTGAAAGAATGTTAACAACTGACTAAGTACTTTATAGGGCTGTTGTGTGAGTGTGGAACACTTGCAGGGCTCAGATTAAGCAATACTTGTAAAAGCCCAAACCCAATACAAAATAAGGAATAGCTACTAATATTCAGGTGTTGGTATGTTCATTTGTTAAACTTCCCAAAGGTAAATGCTTTTGGAAAAAGCCAGGCAGGGAAAGGTCAAGGCTCAAGCCTCAAGCTCAAAGAATGTGTGCTGAGGGGTGCCTGGGTGGCTCAACTGGTTAAGCATCAAACTCTTGGGTCTGGCTCAGGTCACCATCTCAGGGGTTGTGGAATCGAGCCCTGTGCGGTGGGACAGAGCCCCATGTCAGGCTCTGGCTCAGCGGGGAGTCTGCTTCAGATTCTCCTCTTCTGCCTCTGCCTCTCTCCTAGCGTGTTCTTGCTCTTTCTAAAATAAATATATAAAATCTTAAAAAAAAAAAAAAAATGTGTGCCTAATGTGGACTCCAGGCACTGATACCTGGATAGAAAAAGAGAGATCTGGGGGAAGAGGTGTTTTCCTGCTGTTCTTCAAATCACAGCACCTGAGTAACCATTTAAAACCTCCTAATCTAGCAAGTTAAGGCTGGACCTGACTCCCATCTCTCACTTGAGGAACCACTGTTCTAGGACAGTACTAAATAATCCGCATCTTGGCACTTGATTGTACAGTCTGCATGCCTGTTCTCAGACTGCTTCACTGTATAAAACTGTCTTTCCCCATTCAAGCAATAAACTCTTTGAGGGCAAAGTCGCTATTATTTGTCCCTCTCACAATACACCAAAAAACATAAATAATAAATATCTGGAAGACTGAATTGAGATTATGTAGCTTATAGAAAAAATCTAATTAAACATACATAATAATCAAAAGACTTATCTTTCATAGAAATTATTTCAAAACCCAAATGGTTCCCAGTCACCACCACAAGCTGGTCCCTGATCCAGCTCCCTTTCCAGAGGGGATTGCACTCTAAATCGCTCTGCCCCGTCTTCTATCACTCTCTCTAAACCACCACCCCAGCGGCCCCCAACTGGAACCGTGCCTCACCTTTCCTCTTTTTTCTTTTTTGCATTCATGAGCGCATTAGAAAACATTACAAGCGGCCCCTGGAGAGGGCAGCTCTAGTATTTCTGAATCCCTACCCCCAACCCACTTCAGGGGGTGCCACTCAGCCCATACCAAGACTCACAGGATAAATGTGGACCCTCCCAAAGCGTCAATTTTCCTCAAGAGTTGGAAAGGAAGACATTTTTACATTAATATTTACGCATTTAAAGGGACATGACCCAAACTCACAGTCTTTTTCAAAATAAACTCTAGAAAGTTCATGCTTTTCCGCTCCCCCCCTCCCCCCAGCCTCCCGGACACCGGGCGCTTCGTGACTCCGGGTGGAAGTTGGGGCAGCTCTGCCGCCAGGACCGGACACCACAGGGCTCCGTCCGATCCAAACAGGGGCTGTCCCAGTCCCCTCCCCAACCCAGTCGCCTCCTTCCCCTCCAAACCCCAGCTGGTCCGCACATCCTCCACGCCCAACCCCCCCCAGCCCTTCCCCCAGCTCCTTCCCGCAACCCTGACTCCTGCCCAAGCGCTCGCACCGCAGGCCCAGGCCTCTCTCAAAGGGACCATCTTTTCTCCCGAGCGGTCCCCACTTCCCCCCCCAAACACTTCGCACCTCGACTCCCCCAACCGCCCGCACCAGAACCCCTTCCTCCTCTCCCTCACGACTCCCCCTTCACATCTCTCCCCTCTGGCCGGCTCCCACCTCCTCTCTTCAATTCATCCCTCCCGCCCGACGCCCCGGCTCCCTCCCGGCCCTGCTTCCTCTAACCCCCTTCCCCCGCCCAAGAACCCCTCCCCCTCACCTCGTTTCCGTCTTCCAGCAGCAGCCACTCGGCGTTCATCCCTACGCGCCGCAAGCACCAGCTCCGGCCACCGGCGCGGTCTCCCGTGACCAACGAGCCAGGCTCCTCCATAGCCCACTCTGGCCCCGCTCGCGGTCAGCACAGCGCGAGACCCCCGCCCGGGTTCCCCACGCCTCTCAGCTTCGTCGCCGGCGCCATACCTAAACAACAGACAGAAGCAATCGCTACGCGCTCGCGATCGATGTGAACACCGGCTCAGGCTCCGCGCCCCGCCCACTCGGCCAGCAAACCGGACTCACTGCGCCTGCGCCGGAGCGAGGCCGCGGCGGGGATGGCGCAGGTGCGCGGCGTCCTAGCTCCAGGTATGGCACCGTCTCCCGGAAGCCCCTCTCAAGAACCACTACCCCAGTCCTAGCTTCCCCTAGGTGGAACCTCTTCTCACCTTACCCCCCTTTTTTAAAAAATTGATTTTACTTTATGACGAGTTCCATGTTACCTAAAACTGTAACTTTTAAACAACTTTAAACTTGTGATTTTAAAATATGTTAAGTCTGGGGGCGCCTGGCTGGCTCAATCAGTAGAGCATGAGACTCTTGATCTCGGGCTCTGAGTTCAAGTCCCACCTTGGGTGTAGAGCTTACTTTAAAAAAAAAAAAAAGAGGGGCGGCTGCGTGGCTCAGTCGTTAAGCGTCTGCCTTCGGCTCAGGTCATGATCCCGGGGGTCCTGAGGTGGAGCCCTGCATCGGGCTCCCTGCTCTGCAGGAAGCCTGCTTCTCCCTCTCCCACTCCCCCTGCTTGTGTTCCCTCTCTTGCTGTCTCTCTCTCTGTCAAATAAATAAATAAATAATCTTTAAAAAAAAAAAAAGAGCGAGAAAGAGCACAAAATGTGTTGAGACTGTTCCTAAATAGCATCTGTTTTGCATGACCTTTTACTACTGAATTTTTCAAAACTTAACAGGAGACAAATCTATGGAGGCAGAAATCAGTTACCTGGGGCTAGGTGTGGGAGCGGGGACTAAACACAGACATGAAAGAATTTGGGGAGGTGATAGAAATGTTCTGAAACTGGATTGTGGTGGTGATTGCACAATTGTGTACATTTACTGAAAAGTCACTGAAGCATTACATACACTTCCATTGGACAAATTTTATGGTATGTAGATTATCCTCAATAAAGCTATTAAAAACAACAACAATATCTGAAATTCTTTTCTTTGATCCTCCAGTATAGTGTGGTAGCCCTTCCCTGCAGTGAGTACATCGGTGATAACTCAACACCCCCTCTTGTCTTTTCCATTTTCCAATACCTGGTTACCAATTTTCTTAAATTCTGTCAGGGGAAAATATATACACTAAATGAATCATACGAAGCGCAACAGCACAGGGCTAACATTTATTGAGAACTAAGTGCCAAGTACTAGGCCAAGCACCCTACATACTTTATCCTGTATGCTCCTCACAAAACTATGATGATAGTGGTTACAATGATAATTCTTATTTTAAGCTTGATGAGAAAAGAGGCACAGAGAAGTTTAGCAATCTTCTCCAAGTAACAATTTCAATGGTAGGGTAGAATGCCAATTCAGTTCTAATTTCCTAACCACAGTTGCAACCCCAGCCTGGTGTTTTATCTGTGTGGCATGGTCAGATCAAGAATTTCGGCCTGAGGGGTGCTCAGTTGGTCAAGCGTCTGACTCTTGGTTTTGGCTCAGGTCAAGATCTCAGGCTCTCCGCACTGGCTCTGAGCTCAGCATGGAGTCTGCCTGTCCCTCCCCCTCCCCCTCTACTCCTCCGCCACTTCCTCAAATAAATAAATAAATAAAATCTTAAAAAAGAAAAAGCATTTCAGCCTGTGATGTAAAAGAGGGTCAGGAAAATGGGTGGGAGCCACAACTGTACTCATGCAGGTGCTTCCCCAGGCTTTGGATTACATGCCTGTTGGTGCCTCCATCCTACCTTAGCATTCTGTGCTGGGAACAGCAAGGGCGTCTAGAGGCCATCCTGACATTTCCTTGGCATGTCCCCTTAAGCTTCTCTTGGCTGTGACAGTTTCTCAGACTTGCCTTGTTTTTGACGACCTTGACAGTTTTGAGGAGTACTGGCCAGGTATTTTGTAGAATGTCCCTAAATTGGGATTTGTCTGATGTTTTTCTCATGCTTAGACTGGGGCTATAGGTTTTAGGGAGGAAGACCAGAGAGGTAAAATGTCATTCTCATCATATCATAGTGAGGGTACATACTATCAACATGAACTATTACTGTTGATGTTAACCTTGATCATCTGGCTGAGGCAGTGTTTGTCAGGTTTCTCTTCTGTAAAGCTCCTCTCCCCTTTTGCAGACGGTGCCTCTTGGAAGGAAGTCACCCCGCACCGCCTACACTTAAGGAGTGGGGAGTTATGCTCCACTTCCTTAAGAGAAGGGTATCTACATATATTGCTTATAATTCTTCTGCATGGGAGGGACACCTGGGTGGCTCAGTCAGTTAAAGCGTGTCTCACTCTTGGTTTCAACTCAGATCATGATCTCAGGGTTGAGATTGAGCCCTGTATCAAGCCCTGCATCAGGCTCCATGCTCTGAGGGGAGTCTTCTTCCCCTCTCCTTTTGCCCCCCCCCCACTCTCCCATTCTCTCTAAAACAAATAAATCTTAAAAAAAATAATTCTTCTGCATGGGAGATTTGTCTCTTCTCCCCCATTTATTTATTGAATCATTTATTCATATTGGTATGGACTCCTATTCATAGTGGTATGGACTCACTTATTTTATACTTTGCTTTATAATCCAATACCACTTTATTTTGTTGCTCAAATTGTTCCTACTTTGATGACATTGTCCCTTTGACATACTTCCATCACTGCGCTTTATAGAGCACATCCTTACTTTCTGGCACAAGATGCTCTACATCTAGAGTCAGCCAGTTCTCCAAGGAGCCCTGCTTCCTTTTATTGGGAAATGGTATTAGAAACCAAGACCTGGACACCAACTGTGCTTGTTGCAACTGTTACTGCTTCTAGGTTCTCTCAGCTGACAGGGAAGTAAATATTTGTATGAATACTAACTTCTCCATATCCCCATATCTATGAATATTTATAATGTATGTATGCACTTGTATGTATGTATGTACCATGTATGTAATAACACATACATCTCCATTGGTAAGCTGAACGTGTGCATAATGATGGCTTACAACTCGAATGCATTACCACCTGGCCCCTGGATCTTTCCAGTCATCCCCCCACCCTTGCTTATCTGTAACCTTCCACTCTAAAACTGAAAAGCCTGGCTCCTACCATATGCCATCCATTTATTTGATCGTCATTTCCAGTACACAGATAGTGTTTTCAGAATCGTTAACCCATATACCCGTGGGAAACACTTTATCAACTAGACTACACTACTTATGCACAAGTCTTTGACTTTTAGTCTTACAGACTTCACTCATTTCCAAAATTCCTTAGATCGGCACCCTTTTCCCCACCCCCTTCGAAGAGGTTATTTCATAGATGCTTTTGTCACAGTCTGTATTCTATCTAGGATCCCCTGACCTCCTATAATGATCTTTTATAATTCATAGACATTAAGGCTCACTTCATAAAGTTCCATGAGTTTTGGCACATGCATTATAGTATCACAGAGAGTAGTTTCATCTCCCTACAAAGTCTCCTGTGCTTCATCTCTACTTGACCCCATACCTTGTTTGTTTTATTTTACAACATATCCTGGAGATCACTTCATAGCAGGATAGATCTATATTCCTCCTTCCTCTTTACAGCTGTGTATTAATCCATTGTGCAGATGTACCTTTGTTTCTTCAACCAGTCCTTGAATGATACACAGTTTGGCTCTTTCCAGTCTGTAGTTATCACTAATGGCCCTACAGTGAATTAGTAGGTACCATTTATGAGTACCTATTTTATGCTTTTCATATATTATCTTACTTGATCCTCACTACCATGCTGCCAGATATCTCCACTTACCTATGAAGAACCTGAGACTGTTGGGTTGCTCAAGGTCTCCTCACCATGAGCTTCTTGAGAGTTATGTCTTGTTTTCAGTTGTATTCCTGACATTTTTATTGATTGAATAAATGTAACTCAACTAGTAAATGGCAGTGCTGGGAACTGAAGCCAGGGTTGTGAGCTTGGACCTACCTAGCCCCAAAGGCTGTACTCATTACAGCCCAGCAGTGGTCTCTAAGGTGGAATGGCCATACCCCAGGGAGTACACAAGATGACCCATTTGCTTGTGGGACGAATATATTCAGATATCTACTTAGGTTTTTATCCAATCCTTCAAAAAAAAAAGTCTACTTTTGTGGATATTTTATACTTACATGAAAGGACAACACAGAGGTTATACATAGACTTTATACAAATAAGTATGCATATGCTGAGCTGTCTCCTCAGCCCTTCTTTTGTTGCTAAGAGCGCATGGTCGAAACAGTTTGGAGATACTGACTTCTAAGATTTAGGGATTTTTATTATCTCCATCTCCCCTGTTTATTCCCTTATAACAGTGAATCTCAACTGGGGGCAACCCCCCCCCGGACATTTAGCACTATCTGGGAGCATTTTTTGTTGTCCTGACAGGGGCAGGGTTGCTACTGGCCATCTAGTGATTAGAAGCCGGGGATGCTGCAAAACATCCGACAAATCACAGGACAGCCCCACAGCAATCATCATCCAGTCCAAAATGCCAGTAGTGGTAAGGTTGAGAAACCTTGCATTAAACCCGTCTCCAGAGGGAAAAATGGAGGGGGATGAGAGAGCGGATGCAGAAAAGGAAGTAGGGGGTATCTGTATCTGTAGATCTGACACCTGTCTCATTACATATGCTCAATTAAACAGAATTGAAGGGGCGCCTGGGTGGCTCAGTCGTTAAGCAGCTGCCTTCGGCTCAGGTCATGACCCCAGGGTCCTGGGATCGAGCCCCGCATCGGGCTCCCTGCTCCGTGGGAAGGCTGCTTCTCCCTCTCCCACTCCCCCTGCTCGTGTTCCTGCTCTCGCTGTCTCTCTCTCTCTCTGTCAAATAAACAAATAAAATCTTTAAAAAAATAAAAAATAGAACAGAGCTAAGGAATGTTAGAAAGGGTTGACAGTGGAAAGGCTTGGGAAGTAGGAAAGGAAAACAAGAAGAGGAGGAGGAAGCACAGGGCAAAAGGAAGAAAGGGAAAGGGAGGAGAGATCTATGGAAAGGAAGTGGGACAGACTGTTTTCCAAGATGATTATAAGATCTCCCATCCCACACACTCTTAAAACAGGACACTGACACTCCTCCCATTGAGAGATGGCACCGACATTTCCTCCTCTTGGAATCTAGGTGGGCATGCGACACCAGAAGAAGTGATGTCATGCCATAAAAGATAATACAGCTTCCACCCAGGCTTTTTGGGAAGCTCTTGGAACACAGTCCCCACAAGGAAGTGGAGAGAACAAACACATGAAGAGAGCACATGTAGATCTGACCAACAGCTCCAACTGAGGTCCCAACTGATACCCAACATCAACTGCCAGACATGGGAATGAAGGTGCCCCTAGATGATAGTGGCCCCCAAGAGTGAGTCACCCCTAGCCTTTGAGTCTTTCCAGCCGAGGCCCCAGGCCTCATGGAATAGTGATCCCTGAATTGTCACCCCTGTTGTGCTCCACCCGAGTTCCTGCCCCAGAGTCTGTGAGCATAAAAAAATGGTTGTGCTAAACCACTTAGTTTTGGGGTAGTTTGTTCTACAGCAATACAGAACTGGAACAGGAAAGGTGTGGGGGAGGGTGGTTGGACAGTCATGGGTTTCTCTGTTTCTGTATTAGGGTAATATACAAACCCCAAGTTTCAGTGGTCGAGCGCAATAGAAGTTTATTTCTTACTCACATAATTGTCCAATGCAGTGTTCCTGCTTGGTGGACAGGCTTTCATTGAGTCATTCAGGAGCTCAGACTTCTTTCATCCTGGAGGGCTGGGAGTCCTCTCTTCCCCAGGGCTTGGAGTCTTCTGCATCTACAAAGCAAACCAGGGGAAGAAGGATCAAGAAGGCACACCTGCTTCTTAGCTGTCTTGTCCCCAGTGTGACATACATTTCCCTCTGCTCACACTTGTGTGGAGAGAACTGGTCACATGACCCCACCTAGCTCCAGGAAAGGTTGGGAAATGTAATCCCTGGTTGAGCAGCCAGTTCCCAGAAACTACTCTATTCCATGGGAAGGGGAGCATGAATTTTGGTGGACAGCTAGCTGTCTCTGGCAGACTTTAGAACCCAAGCTTATGAACTAAAATGATGATCATGACAAAGCTTTCTCTTCCTCTCTCCCATTTCCTTTCTTTTTATCTCCCTGGAATAGCGGCGGGGGGAAAGGATGGAGTACAAGTGATCACATTTTGCTCACTCTGTGGCTTTTGTGTAAGGTCAGCCCTTAATTCAGTGGGAAACTTAGAGGCTACTTAGTGGCATGGTGGTGAGGCATGTGGAGTTCGGATGAGTTCAAATCCTAGCTCTGCTACTTACCCGACGTGAGACCTTAGGCAGGTTACTTGACTTCTTCAAACCTCAGCTTCCCCATTTATAAGAGAAGGGTGATGATAAGGGTAACGCTTGACTTACAGGATTATTAGGAGGATTAACCCGGTGAATTCCTGTAAGACAGTTTTGCTTGGTACACAGTGAGTACCCAATCACCGCGAGCTACTATCGTGGAAGAATGGGGTGTCAGTGCTGCATAAGGTACTCCCGGCAGGTAGAAAGTCTCTCTCCCTGGGCCTTCTCTATGTTCTCTTGTCTAAAAGACCGGAAACAAGATGTCTTCTCCTCTTTAAATTGGTTTATTATAAAGTTAGAAATCCCTTCAATCAGTTTTAGACTTCTGTTACCCATCTCCAAGCAATATGGGTGTTTTAAAATGTCTAAAGCAAATAGTTCCCTCTGGGAGCAAGGGTTGATCCATTCTGGAGGCACAGCTCTGCCCACTGATTTGAAGCGTGGTTCCCCTCGGTGAGGTTCAATAAGGGTAAGGCAGAACTTTTTTTTATGTTTTCAAAAGATTGAGCAAAGAAAGGGGTCTTGATGTAGCGTCTCAAGCGAAGTTCTGTGTTTCTTCTCCGGTACTCTCTGATCCTGAGATCACAGGCCAACATTTCAATAGACTGCTGCATTTAGTCATCTGTGTTCACTAGACTTGGAGGATTTCAGGGTGTCTGGGGGGAGGTGAGATCCCAGATGGAGTGATCCAGCCTTGGGGTGTGTGTGTCAGGAGTGGGGAGGTGGGGTTCTTGGCTCCACATTCTCACTCTTCCTTTTTTCTTACTCATTTATTCTACCATCTCTTCCCTGCCCACCCCCAGCTGTAAGACTCTATGCTGAAGGAATCAGGGAAAGATGCCTTTTATTTTTGAAAGGGAAATGTTTTAGAAAACCAGAAGTAAGTGAGGAGGGAAAAAGGGACCATCGGCTTTGGACAGCTTGTGTATTAAGTGCTATTTTGTGTAAACATGGCATTTTAAGTATACAATTGTTAAGATATTTCTGATACCTTTAATCAAGTTTATTATATTTTGGAAGTGTGTATAATGAGTCATCAAGTTTATTATATTCTGGAGGTACCTTAATCAGTAATTAAGGTGGGTGTTTCGGAGGTCCGTGGAAGTAGTTCTATAGGAAACTACCACATTCCTTTTTGGTTGGGGCTCCGGCTGTTTCTTTAAGCGTCCGCATCCTTTAACTTGCCAAGGATCAGTACCCACTTCAAATATTTATTACCCGTCTGATTTTATTGAGGGGGAGAGGGAGGGAGGAAAGGAGGAGGTAGGCAAGACAGAGGGAAAGAAGGCAGTGAGAATCAGGTATCAATAATTACTGCTTTGTTTTCTTCTCCTTACAGAGTTAGCTTCAGGCTGTTTATTTTGCAACTAATACATGGTATCAAGTGCCTAATATAAAATAGGCTTGGGGTGACTTACAATCGAATCCTATCACTCTGCGTTGGCTATTTTTGGACTGCAAAAAAACTCAGAAATCCCTAATTCAATTCACCTTTGTCTAGGGTTGGGAAACGGGGAGAGGGAGTGGGAGTGTTTCTCACACGGAGAAGCTTGAGTTCTATAATCCAAGGTTATAATGCAATTCTCATCACATTTTTTTTACTTACAAATTTATTGCATTATCAGCTGTGATATTTATTATTCAGGACTTGTTGAAACGTGCTCAAGTTTATTTCAGCTAGCAGCAGGCTTCTCTCTCCCATTTCAGTAGTCACATGCAGAGCTGTGTTTTTCAAATTCAAGTTAACACTCAGTAATGACTCTTGATCAGCATTTTTGAAAAATGAAATAAAAAACAGAACAGGTCATAGGCCATCACACATAGGAAGGGTACATACTGTTCGTGAAATGTTATTATTTGTGTGTGTGTCTGTGTTTGTGTACTGGGCTCAACGTAAAATGTGTTTTTTACTGCAGGTTGTGGACGAAAACCTTTGGAGGATTTCTGGTACTAGACAAGATGGCGTATGCCCACTGCAGTCTCTCTCTTCCACTTATGATGACTAAAAATGCTGGACAAAATAGAACTACCTGAGAACTCTGAAAAGTAAACAAGCAGGCAAATTAGGGAGGGAGTCAAAGCTTGAAGACGCTATCCGTAGGGGGTGAGTTTCTCAAAATTTTTCCATCTTTTCTCTCACAGCTTTGACCTGAGAGCCTTGAGGTCCCAGGTAAGGGGCCTCCCAGCAGCAGAGGCAGCAAAAACTGAGAGAAACCTAAAAGAAAACAGCTCTCGTTTCTTCTACTCTACTCGGCAACACTTCTGACACCAAATGTGTGGGGCTTTTTCCCACATCAAACAATTCTCCAGCTCTCTGGATGCCAACCGGTCCAACTGGCATCCAATTGGACCAATTCTGACACCACCTGGAACTAGCACAGAACCCACAAGTTAAGGGCTCAGTCCCCAAAGACTGCCCCTACTTCAGACGTCAGTCATATGCCCCAGGTTGTCACTGGGATACTGACCAACTGGCTATAAATTGGAAGGTTCCCTTAACCCCTTCCTCGGGTTTGATAATTTGCCACAACGGCTCACAGAACTCAGAGAAACACTTACTTATATTTACTGGTCTATCATAGAGGAACATCCAGATGAAGTACATAAGGTGAGGTCTGGAAGGGTCCTGAGTGCAGGTGCTTCTGTCCCTGTGGAAGTTGAGGTGCGTTACTCTTCCTGGTGCATGGATGTGTTCACCAGCCCAGAGGCTCTGTGAACCTCTTTGGTAAGGTTTTTTTTTTTTTTAAGATTTTATTTATTTGAGAGAGAGCATGAGCAGGGGGAGGGGAAGAGGAAGAGGAAGAAGCAGACTCCCCACTGAGCAGGGAGCCCGACCGGAACTTGCTATCAGGACCCTGGGATTGTGACCTGACCACCTGACAAAAAGCAGACGCTTAGACTGACTGAGCCACCCAGGCGCCCCTCTTTGGTAAGGCGTTTTAAGGGAGGTTTCATCACATACCATATACCATAATCATTAACTCAATCTCCAGCCGCTCTCCCCTGTCCCAGAGGATGGGGATGGGGCTGAAAGTTCCAAGCTGACAATGATGGCTTGGTCTTTCTGGTGACCAGCCCCCCATCCTGAAGCTATCCCAGAGATCACCATGAGTCACCTCAAAAGACGAGGTGAACAAAAGATGCTCCTATCACTCAGGAAATTCCAAGAATTTTAGGAGCTGTGTGTCAGGGACTGGGGGCAGAGACCAAATATATATTTCTTATGTCACAAACTACATCTCTCTGACCAGAGGACTTGGGAAAAGTGTCCCTGCGAGCTGGGGCGGGGGGGGGGGGGGGGGGGGGGGCGGAGCTTACAATTAATTCTTTTTCTCTCTCTCCCAGACCTGCCCCAAGGGCAGGACTCAATTGTGTAGCAGTCAGCACTAGTATGGCCAGCAGCAATTTCCAGAGAAACACTGTCATTCTGGCTAACTGACTAGGAAACAGAGCGCCGGTAAGCCAGAGAGTATAGGGGGAATCCTGGAAAGAAGCCATCTGGAGAAGGGGAGCCCAGTTCTGTGTATGAACTGGCACAAGTTTTACATGGTCAAAACTAACCCAGCACAGCAAAGCCTCTGAAAAACTGAAATGACCTTGGAACAATGGCCCACAGATGAGAGAAAACTTGCAGCTTGGAACCTAACTGGGTAGATTGCCTACTAAACTGAAACAAAACAAAATGAAGTCAGTGTTTTCTAGAGCAGAGATTAGATAATTTTTTCCATAAAAGGCCAGACAGTAAATATTTTGGGCTCTGTGGGCCATACAGCCTATCATGACTACTCAACTCTGCCGTTGTGGTGTCAAAGCAGTCAAAGACAAGGTGTGAATGAATCAATATTGTGTTTCAATGAAACTTTATTCACAAAAAGAGGAAGAGGGTTGGATTTGGCCCACAAGCCATAGTCTGCTAATTCTTGCTCTAGAGGCTTTTAAGAAGACTGAGATTCTCACAGGTAATATTCAAAATGTCTAGGATATAATCTAAAATGACTCAACACCCAAAGACTTAGAAAAAGGTGATCCGGGCGCCTGGGTGGCTCAGTTGGTTAAGCAACTGCCTTCAGCTCAGGTCATGATCCTGGAGTCCTGCGACTGAGTCCCGCATCGGGCTCCCTGCTCAGCGGGGAGTCTGCTTCTCCCCCTGACCCTCCCCACTCTCATGCTCTATCTCATTCTCTCTCTCAAATAAATAAGTAAAATCTTTAAAAAAAAAAAAGAAAAAGGTGATCCATTTTTAGGGGAAGGACATGAAAGATGCCAACCCCAAGATGACCCAGATGTTGGAATTGCCAGACAAAAATGTAAAACAGGTATTACAATTATGCTCCATGAGGTGAAAGTAAACACACTTTAAATGAAGGAAAATAATAGAAATTCTCAGTAGAGAAACAGAAACTATAAAAAGAATCAAATGGAAATGTTAGAACCCGAAACCACAATATCTGAAATAAAAATTCACTGTGTGGGCTTAATAGTAGAACGGAGATGACAGAAAAGGAGTCAATGAACTTAATGAGAGATGAAGAGAAAGTCCCTAATCTGAAGAACAGAAAGGAAAAAGAATGAATAAATAAAACACAATTTGAGGAACTATGAGTCCAACATTCATATCATTAGAGTCCCAAGGGAGGAGTGAGATTGGTGCAGAGAAATACATATATATTTGAAGAAATAACAGCTGAGAGCTTCTCAAATTTGGGGAAAGACATAAAATTACAGATTCAAGAAACTCAAACCCCTAGGGTGCCTGGGTGGCTCAGTCAGTTAAACGTCTGCCTCCGGCTCAGGTCATGATCCTGGAGTCCCGCATCAGAGTCCTTGCTCAGTGGGGAGCCTGCTTCTCCCTCTGCCCTCTGCCTGCCACTCCCCCTGCTTGTGTGCTCGCACTCTCTCTGTCAAATAAATAAATAAAATCTTAAAAAAAAAAGAAGAAACTCAAACCCCAAACAAGATAAATGCAACAAAACAAAAAAACCCTCCAACTCCAAAAACAAAAACAAAACCCACACTCAGATACACAATCAAACTTCTTAAACCCAAAGAAAAAGAAAAAAATCTTTAAAGCAGCCTGAGAAAAACCATGGTGGTTTCTCAGGATATCAAAAATAGAATTAGCAGATGGCCCAGCAATTCTGCTTATGGGTATATACCCAAAAGAATTGAAAGCAAGGTCTCTAAAAGTGATATTTATTTGATGTATTTATTTTAGAGAGAGAGAGAGAGTGAGCACAGGCAAGTGGGGGGAGAGGCAGAGGAAGAGAAACAGACCCCCTGCTGAGCACAAAGCCTGATGTAGGGTTCAATCCCAGGACCCTGAGATCATGAACTGAGCTGCCCAGGTGCCCCTCTAAGTGATGTTTATATACCCGTGTTCATAACAGCAGTATTCTCAAAAGCCAAAAAATGGAACTCATCTGACCATCAACAGATGGATGGAAACAAAATATGGGGTGCGCACGCGCATGTGTGCACACGACGTAGTATTACTCAGCCTTAAAAAAATGGAAGGAAATTCTGGTATATGCTACAACATGGATGAACCTTGAGGACATTATGCTAAGTGAAATAAGCCAGTCCAAATGGCAAATACTGTATTGTCCCACTTATTTAAGTTACCTAGAATAGTCAAATTTCTAGAGACAGAAAGTAGAATGGTGGTTGCCAGGGGCCATATGGAGGAGGAAATGGGGAGCTGTTATTTCATGGGTACAGTTCCAGTTTTGCAAGATGAGATGAGTTCTGGAGATGGATGGTCGTGATGGTTGCACGACAACGGGAATGCACTTACCACTACTGAACTGTACACCTCAAAGTGATTAAGATAGCAAACTTTATGTTATGTACATCTTGCCACAATTTTTTAAAAAGCAGTCTGAGAAAAATAATATAGAACAATGGGGCGCCTGGATGGCTCGGTCGGTGAAGCGTCTGCCTTTGGCTCAGGTCATGATCTCAGGGTCCTGGCATCGAGCCCCACGTCGGGCTCCCTGCTCAGCAGGAGCCTGCTTCTCCCTCTGCCTCTCACCTCGCTCTCATGCTCTCTCACTCTTTCTCTCTCAATTAAAGTCTTAAAAAAGTAAAAAAATGTATAGAACAATGATTTCAAGGACTGTGGAGTGCTCATCAGAAACTGTGGAAGAGAGAGCAGAACAACAGCTTTAAAGTGCCAAAAGAAAATAACTGTATCTAGAGAAAATATATTTGGGACTGAAGGCAAAACAAAGACCATTCTCAGATGAAGGAACACTAAGAGAACTGCTCAAGAGTTTTTCAGGCAGAAGGGAAATCAGTTTCAGAGGGGAAGCTGGAGCTTCAGGGATGAAGGAGAAACATACATGGTAAATGTCTCCTCTGAAGTTCTTTAAAATACATGTAACTGTCAAAGCACCTGGGTGGCTCAGTCGTAGGGCGTCTGCCTTTGGCTCGGGTCATGATGCCAGGGTCCCGGGATCTTCAGTGGGAGGCCTGCTTCTCCCTCTCCCACTCCCCCTGCTTGGGTTCCCTCTCTTGCTATGTCTCTCTCTGTCAAATAAATAAATAAAAATAAATAAATAAAATACACGTAACTGTCGAGAGCAACACTCATTGATCTTGAGCCAGGCATATGGCTGCCTGGACCAGACTAATCCTCCAACCTCCCTTGCAACTAGGTGTGACCTACCAAGGGACTAAGTTCTGGTGAGTTGTATGTAAAAGGAGGTATTATGGGGCAGCTTTCTGGAACATTCCTTAAAACACTGCTGACACATTTCCTTCATTCTTTTTTCTTGGTCCCTTCTGTCCCATCCTGTTGCTTGGAAAAGGACGCTGTGGCCGGAGGGCCATCTGTCATCCCCCCCATGAAGACCCAGAGGAGTCAGGTTCCTAAAGATTTTGTGAATCAGACCCATCATACTAGCCCTGGGAGGCCTACTTTTGGATTTTCATGGGAGGGAGAAGTAAATTTCCTTGGTTTTCTTTTTTTTTTTTTTTTTTTTAAGATTTTATTTATTTGAGAGAGAGAGAGAGAGAAGCAGACTCCCCACTGAGCACTGAGCCCCATACAGGGCTCGATCCTGGGACACTGAGATCACGACATGGGCTGAATTCAGATGCTTCACCAACTGAGCCACCCCCCCGGCGCCCGGTAAATTCCCCTGTTGTGTAAGCCACAGTTATTTTTTGGCTCATGCAGCATGTTGCTGAATTGAATCCTAATCTAGCTCCTAATTACTGAAACCAAGCAACACTCTCAAATGAATCCTAGGAAGAAGTTCTGGGTGAAGAAACCACTCAAGTGTTTATCACAGGGCTTGCCTGCCACATGGTGAGGTGCTCTATAAATGTCTGGGGTTCGGCACCATGTTCCTCATTTCTGTATTTCCCACAGGATCCATCACACAGTAGGGGCTCCATCCTCTGAGACTGCCTGCTGATTTTCTGTTGATGCCCCGCTTGCCCTACAGAAGATGTGTCCCCTATACTTACTAACACCAGCAAGAAAAAGCCGAGAAAGAGGGATGCGTTAGCACTGGAGGAGGAAATACACTATTTATTTACAACTCTTTCACTTTATCCACAATTTCCATACAAACATAAAAACTAAAAAAATAAAACCACCACTTGGGAACACAAGTGTCTTTCTTTAATTAGTCCGGTTGAGGGGAGGGTCACAGCCCTCTCGCTCTGTGAAGGAGACTATTGAGGCACACTGAAGGGGAAGAGGAGGGGGTTAGGAAGAATGCCTGAGAAACAGCTCCAGATGAGAAATGGAACAGCGCGGTGGAGTTTCACCGGCAGAAACTCAAGGGCGTCACCCACCGGGGACACTGACCGGCTTCCCGGGAGAAGGGCAGCTGCTCGCCACCATCCCCCCGCCCCTCCGCTATGGAACTCCCCAAATCCAACATGTCACCCCTCTCATGAGCTGTGTGGGGTATGGTGGTGACAGTGGGGGACACTGGATACCTCTCTCTGAGAAGAGCGCCAAACCCCAGGGAGACACAGAAAACCCCTTTCCTTGGCACTGATGAGTCAGTCACAGCTTCTGGCTTGAAAACGATGCTGACTTAAAGGGAAAAACAAAAGCTCTCCCCCAGCCTCCTGGGGAAAGGGAGGGGCTGAAAACATGCAGGAGGGCTTCTGCCTCTGGGGGTGAGAGGTGGGGGGCTCTGTCTGCCCACCACGGGGAAGGAGTGGGGCAGATGCTCCACAAAGACCCCGGGCGGGGTGGGGAGGGGCGGGGAGGGAAGAGAGAAGAACTCGGAGACACTGATGCTGGGACAGCTGCCACCAGTTGTCAAAGCAGGTCCATTTGCTTGGCGACACTCACTCTGGCAGACTCCCATCCTCCCCCTCACAGGAGGACGCCCAGAAGCCAACCTGGAGATGCCAGACCCCGTGCCTGGCAACTTCATCTGAGCTAGTGACCGAGATTGCTTGCACACGTTGATGCACAATATAAATATAAAATCATATCTGCTACAAAGAGGACATATATTTGTACATCTTTACCCATATACATAATAACACAATTTACACATAATATCTTGGAGTGGGTCATCATGGGAAAAGGGGTTGGAGAGGTATAAAGCCCCTTCTCCCTCCCCTGCCCTGATCCTTCTCAAGGGACACCTGTATACTTGGTCACCGGGGCCCTTCCCAGCTGGTGGTGACAGGGCTAGTCTGGACACATAAATTCAGACACATAACTAAATGCTGACGGGTGTGTATACCCACATACACACACAAACGCGGGCGCACATACAGACATCGGATGAGAAAAGGAAAAATAAAATTCCTAGCCCTTGGGTGTAGGCCTCTTCCCAGAGTTATAAGCATCAGTACCTCCTCCATCTGAGAACAACAGTCTCAAGCTGCCCCTCACTGGCTCAGACCAGGGCAGAAGGGGAAGGGCTAGGAACTGGGGGGAGGAAGGGCCAGGAGTCTTCTGAAAACATAAGGCGTTTTTTGACCTGTGATCAAATCAAACTATGTCACAAAAAGCAACGGCATCAGTTGGGGCCGGGAGGCGAGAGACAGTCAGTCCATGTAGGGACAATGTGAGTTGAGACCCTGAGCCTTCCCCTTCTTTTGTCCAGTTTCTTTGAAAGGGGCAGACAACCCTGTACCTCCTTTCCTGTCCTCTCCCAGAGCCGGGCCCATCCACATGTCATGGAATACTGATAGTGGTCCGAGAAACACATCCGGAGACATGGAGTGGTGGACAGGCACGCCAAAGAGTTAAGACCTGGGCGGCGGATGTGAGCTTTTTACAGCAGGAGTGGTTCCTGGCCGGAGTCCACGGCTCGCACAGTGGCCACAGTGATCAGATTGCCATCAGAGATGGGGACAGTCTGGGTCCCCCTGGGGAGACAGCACCTATCGACGGTAGTGATTAGGGGCATCGGCAAACATGTACTTCAGTCTGTACGCCTCGGCAAGAAGCAGCCCGATCTCTTCGTTGCCCCAGTGTATCGTAGGTAGGTTTTGTAGCAGCATCAGGAGACCCTGGAATGCAAGAAAAGAAATTTTATCATCCCTGGACTACAGACCAAGGGACGAGCAGGGCCTGGAAGGGGGTCCCTTCGTCCTGGATCACACATCCCGTAGGGTCGGGCTCCCTCCTCCCAAGCAGCACTCAGCCCCCAGCTCCCAGTTCACCTTCAGGAAGCCTTGAAAAGCCTCTGTTGATTCTCTCATATCCACTAACACCTGCCTCTTTTAAAAGTATTATAAACAGAAAATGACACCAACAAATAAAGACATTGAAAAAGAGAAAAATAATCACTCATCATCCAAATATACCTCTCTTTATTTCCAAGTTTTCCTTTTCAGTCTTTTCACATGCGTATTTCTTTAAATAGCTGTAATCATTATGATTTTTATATGCTTTTTAATCATCCTCTTTTACTATAATTGTAGTGTTTTTCCATGCAGCCTTCAAAAATGACTATTCTCAGTGTTAGTATTCCATCATGTGGCTATACCCTAATTTACTCAACCATTTGCCTTTTGTTAGACACTTAATTTGCTTCCTTTAAGAAAAAAAAAAAAAACCTTTATTAAAAAAAATCCCTTTCTTCATATTCATAAATGAATATCCTTTTTCATTTGCTGTATGTCTCCTAATGCCAGTGTTCACTTCTAATCACCATATTTAGCCTCTGCCCTGTTCTCCAAAGACCATTCTCGACCTACCTGTCCAGCTTATTTCCTATGTTCCCAATGCACATGTCTCTCCAGCTAGGTCCATTTCAGCCAGATTTATTTGTGCCTCTGGGGTTTAATTTATGTTGTTCCTTTAACTTGGGAGACCTTCTCTTTTCTCCTCTACCTATCTCAGTCCTATTCAGTTCTCAAAACCCAGGTCCCTCAAACAGCTCCAGAGAGACAGTCTATATTAAAGAGGATATTAGAATAAAAAGAGAATGAGAGGTTGTCTCTGTAATTTAGTTCCCCATGCTGTTGCTGCTGCTTCGTGTTTTTATCTCTTCCTCTCCCCTCTTTTTTTAAGTCTACTTACTTATATTTATTTTTAAGTAATCTCTACCCCTGGGGGTGCCTGGGTGGCTCAGTCGGTTAAGTGTCTGCCTTCGACTCAGGTTGTGATCCCAGGGTCCTGGGATTGAGTCCCACATTGGGCCCCCTGCTCAGCAGGGAGCCTGCTTCTTCCTCTCCCTCTGTCCTCCACTCGTGCTTGCTCTCTCTCTCTAGTGCTCTTTCTCAAATAAATAAAAAATCTCTAATAAAAAAAAAAGTAACCTCTACACCCAACATGGGGCTTGAACCCATAACCCTGAGATCAAGAGCCACACGCTCTACCGACCAAGCCAGCCAGGTGCCCCGTCTCTCTTCCTGAACTGGATATTCTTATTTTTCTGATTATAAAAATTATAATAGCAAGACAAAACCCAGGGACATAAGGAGACAGGCAGACTTTATTACATATAACTTCAATATGTCAAAAGGTGCCAAAAACCCGGTTAAAATCTAAGAAACTGACTATAAGAAAATATTTTGTAACACCTTCAAAAGACCAAATTCATAATCAAAATACTATCCATACTCCAATGCTATCCATAATCAAAAAGGAGCACCTACTAATCAGTAAGAGATAAAGAAAACCACCAGAGAGAAAAACAGGTAATACGAATAGGTAATGTGCAGAAGGCCCATGGCCCACCCCCATGCTGGGAGGACTTTCAAAAAGCCTGCTTTGAGCTGGACACTCCAGCAGTGTTTTGTAGTTTTCAGTGGAAAGGTCTTGCAAAGCTGTTATGAGATTTCTTCCTCTAGAAACAGACACTTAGCTGTGCACACACAGCTGCCTGGGGCACATCACTGCTAAGGACGGCCAATAGGATTAAGATCCCAATTCTGGGACAGTGTAAGTTCCGGCTTCTGCCCTAGACCTCTCCTTCCCCACTTCGCAGAAAGTGCATATGGATGGAGGAGTGGACGCAGCCATCTCAGACCGTAAGATGAAAGCCATGTGTTGGAGACGGCAGAGCAAGACAGAAGAGAGCCGCGTCCCTGCCACTCTGGAGGCGGAATGTTAGCCCTGGACTGCTTACACTTAGACTAGGAATTAAACAACAAGTAAACAACTATCTTGCTTTGAGCCACTGCTGTTCTAGGGTCTTGGTTACAGGAGACAAGTTTATGTCATCTTAACACACACAGGCTGTAACTATCAAAGTCAGAAATGCGCATGGTCTTTGATCCAGCAATTCTACCCCCGTGTCCTTGTCCTAAGGGAATATCCACAGTCCTGCGCAAAGGTTTTCGCCACATGCACCACGGCTTCAAATAGTGGGGAATCGTTAGACAAACCGTGGTTATCCACATCATGAAATGCACGGAAGCACAGAGAACAAATGAAGTAGGACTACATGCACCGCAGTGGAAAGATAAGATATTTTTAGGAGTAAGAAAGAAAAGCATTGTAGAAAAAGACTTATAGTATGATCCCACTTAGGTAAATGAGAAAACACAATATATTTGTATATGTATATGCACATATGTATATAAAAAATTAAGAAGTTGAGGAGGTAAACTGTTAACAGTAGTTACCTTCGGGGATGAGAGATTTTCACTTTTTTCCCATTATACTTCTGTATCATTTGAGCTCCGTGTTTTCAATTTTTACAGTAAAGTGTTTTTTTTTTTTTTTAAGATTTTACTTATTTATTTGACAGAGAGAGACACAGCGAGAGCAGGAACACAAGCAGGAGGAGTGGGAGAGGGAGAAGCAGCCTTCCCGCGGAGCAGGGAGCCCAATGCGGGGCTCGATCCCAGGACCGTGGGATCATGACCTGAGCCGAAGGGAGACGCTTAACAACTGAGCCACCCAGGCACCTCAGTGGCTTTTTATTTTTTATTTTTTTAAGACTTATTCATTCATTCCAGATAGAGAATGAGCACATGGGAGGTGGGGGGCAGAGGGAGAGAATCCCAAGCAGACTCCCCGCTGAGTGCAGAGACAAGGGGAAGGGACTCTATCTTAGGACCCTGAGATCATGAGCCAAAACCAAGAGCTGGATGCTCAACCAACTGGGCCACCCAGGTGCCCCAACAATAAAGATTTTATATATTACTTGTGTGGTGGAACTTTTTCTCC